AATATATAGAATATATACCATGCATTATGGGTTATAATATAATATATATAATATAAAACATACTTGCAAACATGATTGATATACAGAAGATTTCTCGGTGATAATACGTATAATGAAATTTCCCTGGGAAAATAAATATTGATTTGATTTTTTAGAGTTCTGAAAAAATTATCAGCTGTAAAACTACATGCATATATTTATTCTTTTCTTTTTTTTGTTATCAAAAAATTAAATTCCATAAAAAGATATTGATAAAATATTGATAAAATATATTATATAACAGATGAGAACGATTATAAAAGTGTGAAAAGCCTAATGAAATTTAATGAATTAAAGTGTTATATTAAGAATAAACTTCTATTTTGGGCCCGAAACTGTAAGCGAGAAGAAAATGAGGAAAATGGAGAAACTTGTCAACCTCATGCACCTCGATCCATAAGTGCCAGGAGGGGAGGAGTGTTGGACTCCAATAATTTGTGACTCATGTGTAAACTGTAAAGTATATGGATTTATCAAAAGAGCAGCGCATCAGAAAATATGTTTCATAGTATTGAAATTGAAATTTTTTGACATTTTATGCACTATATGTTATAATATGCTATATTATTATTAAGGAACATTAAATGCCTAATACCTTCCTTTTTTGTTACTGTCACAAGTTAAAAAAGAAAGATGCTGCCTCACCAGGACTTTAACCCGGGACCCTTGGAATACCATTCTGCCACTCAACCGACTGAACTATATTGTATTAGGCTGCTTACGCATCATCTCCCTATATAGTGAACAGTTCCGAACCATTACATATTGCCCTGCTTTATTGAAATTCGTCCTTGAATGGGTACAGTTAACAATGTGAAATAGGACTTTGAGTTTTATACCATCCATCACAGCCCCCTTTGGAATATGTGATGGTATGAAACTTCAAGGCCAATTTTACATTGTTTTATTACTAACTGTTGGGAGTCAAATGTCAAAGGGTGAGAAAAATATGCAGCCTGACTAGGACTTGAGCCAGGGACCCCTTGAATACAGTGTCGAAGCTAACTACCGGCTAAGCTATCAGCCGCTTGCACATCTCATCCCCTCAATAGTGAACAGTTCTGAGCTGTAGAAATGAAAAAATCAGTTTTACAGTATCTTTTTTGTGATTCCATATACCATGCCAGTAATGGTCCCCTGACGGGGAAAGGAACACTTCCTTACTGATAGTGGATCTGAACACCTCTGTCTGCATTATAGGATATTTGCCATACATTTTTTTTATTGGTGGATTTTTTTTCCATATCAATCAAACAGATGTAATTGTTACTCAATATTATAGTAATATGTTGCCTTACTAACTTGGTTTCATTTCCTAGGAGGTTATAATAAGGTAAAATTACCCCCATTTTTAAAGATGTAATGTATTTGCTTTTTGAACAAATAGGCATCATAGAAAATTTACCCTTAGGCTATCTTTCTTCATTGTCAATATAATTCAATGGGGTTTTCTTATTTTAGTCAATTAGATGTAGTAGTTACTTGATAGTATAACATTATTTGGCTTTACTTACTTTGTTTCAGTGACCAGAAGTTATAACTAGGTAAACTTACCCAAATTTTCAATGATTTAGTGTGGTAAAGTTATTAATAAGGCATTATAGAAAATTAGCCATTATTTCTTAATTTTCAATGAAATTTGTTGGGATTTTCTTATGTAGGTATTACTTAATACAATAATACTATGTTGCTTAACCAACTTTGATTCATTTACCATGAGGTTATAATCAGGTAATATAACTCCCATTTTTAATGAATTAGTGTGTAAGCCTGTATAGTTATACATCATAGGAAATAAGCCATGATATTTTTTTGAATATTCGATGTAATTTATTGAGATATTCTTACTTTAATCAATTAGATATGCTTGTTAACCCATTACTTCATATACACGCCTTTTAACGCCTTTTTCACCCCCCCCCCTTTTTGTTGTCTCAAATGATGAAAAAATGCCTTATTTAGGCCCCAAACACTTGTTTTTGTTTGAGAAATGTTCTTAAAAAAAGTGACCTCTTTTTCGGCGCGGCCCCCCAACCAAAAGATACATCAGGGGGTTGCCAGAAGGGGGATGTGCCCCCTTTTATCGCCAAGAAAATTTTGGACTTGTGAGAGGCTGTAAATGACCCCAGATTGATCATAAGGTAACGTGTAACCAACGCTAAAAAGCATTTGACTCTATCTCAATCCATTGAGAAGTTGCAGCACTTTGAAATCAATTTTGATGTAAAAAATCAACGCAAAATAGTGATTTTTGGCAATTTTGAGATGTCCCCTCGTTGCCATGGTAACAGAAAATTTAAGCCTGAGCATGTTGTTGCAAGGGCAATGGTCCAGTCAACATTTGTGCCAAGTTTGATTAGTGTTGAAGCAGTTTTTATAGTATTATAGCAATTTGAACTTGTAACGGGAGACTTTTCAATGAAAACAGCCATTTTTCACAAAATGCTCATGAAGTAATGGGTTAATGAAAAAAATAAAAAAATCTACAAAACAACAATTTTTCTTCAAATTTATATGACAGACCATGTTTAAACATGAAAAAACGCGATTAAGGGTAATTTCAAGTATTTTCATCATTTTCTGTTAACCCATTACTTCATATACACGCCTTTTAACGCCTTTTTCACCCCCCCCCTTTTTGTTGTCTCAAATGATGAAAAAATGCCTTATTTAGGCCCCAAACACTTGTTTTTGTTTGAGAAATGTTGTTAAAAAAAGTGACCTCTTTTTCGGCGCGGCCCCCCAACCAAAAGATACATCAGGGGGTTGCCAGAAGGGGGATGTGCCCCATTCTGTTTGGGGGGTTTGAAGGGGGGCGGAGTCCCCCTCATCGCCAAGAAAATTTTGGACTTGTGAGAGGCTGTAAATGACCCCAGATTGATCATAAGGTAACGTGTAACCAACGCTGAAAAGCATTTGACTCTATCTCAATCCATTGAGAAGTTGCAGCACTTTGAAATCAATTTTGATGTAAAAAATCAACGCAAAATAGTGATTTTTGGCAATTTTGAGATGTCCCCTCGTTGCCATGGTAACAGAAAATTTAAGCCTGAGCATGTTGTTGCAAGGGCAATGGTCCAGTCAACATTTGTGCCAAGTTTGATTAGTGTTGAAGCAGTTTTTATAGTATTATAGCAATTTGAACTTGTAACGGGAGACTTTTCAATGAAAACAGCCATTTTTCACAAAATGCTCATGAAGTAATGGGTTAATTAATGTAATAGATTTATGTTGCACTTATAATTCTGTTTCATTTCCTTGGCTGTTATAATAAGGTAAAATTCCCCATTTTGTAGTGAATTAGTGTACTATCTTAAGACAGTAAGGTATCTTAGGAAATTTGCAATAACTCTTATATTTTGTAATGGAATTTGGTGGGACTTCCTTACTTTAGTCAATTAGATAAGTTTGTTAATTAATATGATAGATTAATGTTCCTCTTATAGCTTTGTTTAATTTCCAAGGCTCTTATAATTAGGTAAAATTTTCATATTTTGTAGTGATTTTGTGCATTATCTTGGACATTTAGGCATCTTAGGAGATTTGCCATAATTATAATATTTTGTGATGAAATTTGTTAGGACTACCTTATTTAAGTCAATTAAATATGTTTGTTTATCAATATAATAGATTAATGTTATATAAAAAAAATTCTGTATCATTTCCTAAGAGGTTAAGTTTAAGGTCAAATTACCCGGTGTATCAACATTTTATGTGGCACTGCTTTCTTTAATAGTTGGGGTCCACATGGAATTTACTATAACATTTATATTTTTCATGGACAATTATTGAAATCTTCTTTTTTAAGTCATCTAATTAAAGCTTTTAATTAATAAAGTTTTTTTGGATTGAGTTATCAATTACATTACTTTTCATAGGGATCTTGTATTAAGCTCTTTTAAATGAACTGACCTACCTATGAAGCATAAAATTGATATTGTAGGAAAATTAAAATTACAATCAATTAAAACTGTACAGGTCCAAAAAAATATAAGTATGCAAAATGGGTTTTTGTAAATTTATATAAATACATAGGTGATATTTAAGTATATTATAGTTAGAATTTTATCAGTTATGAGGTTTATAACTTACTTGAGGGAAGTTAAACAAGTGACTTGGGACTACAACATACCTAGCTGAGAAAAATCTTCAAAGAATTATATGGTTAAATATGGATAGGTTATATACTTTTAAGTTAGCAAAGGGTGACACAGGCTCATCTTGGGTATCTCAAAGGGGTATTATGTTAAGTAATGATTACGGAGTGATAAACCTTAAAAGTGATTTTAAATAATATACAGAATAAAAATCAAGAAAGCTTTATATGTTTATCAAAGTGTGTTATATTATGGACCTCATATAAGATTAAGATATATTTGAGCCGCGTCACGATAAAACCAACATAATGGGTTTGCGACCAGCATGGATCCAGACCAGCCTGCGCATCTGTTCGCTAACAGTGTCTCTACTTGTTATACGGTTTGTAAGTGAACAGCATGGATCCTGATCAGACTGCGCGGATATGCAGGCTGGTCTGGATCCATGCTGGTCGCCATACCACTATGTTGGTTTTGTCGTGACGCGGCTCATTTAACTTTTAACATGTAAACACTGAACTGGATCGGGAAAGAAGGATTGACAATTTTATTAAGATTGCTAAAATAATAATTGTAACTGTTTTTTATTGTACATAATAGGAATATTGCTATATCATTGTATTCTCTTTGTTTGATTGGACTGGTTGAAATTCATAGAAATCCAGCTGGGGTGAATTTAATATAAAATAAGAATAATATTTGTTAACGCATGGAAAAAATATGCTGGATTATATTAATATTTTGACCGAACTGCATACCAAAAAGGCTGCGTGAGGCAGTATTAATAGAACAATTAAAATGACAATCTCAATACTGTGGATTATTACACATTTAATAGAAACACAGAATTACAAAGGGAATACCTATGGAAGCACTGGAGGGCCCTTTTGACTTCTGACTTAATGACTTTTGACTATTGACTTCGGAGTTATGACTTGTGACTTCTAAGTTGTGACTTGTAATTTGTGATGATGCATTGCCGCTCATTTTAAGCCAGGAGATGAAACATGGCGGACAGGGATTTGTCAGATGATGTAAGTTTTTATAGTTTGCTTGAATATTCTTCTTAATTAATGTAATTTAGCGATACATATCCATCACTAATCGGGCAATACAATTTGGACGGTCTGTGTATTTTGGTTCACTGAGATCTAGATGCGTTTACCATAAGAAATTAACACTCTCCCTCAATGTGAGAAAAGTGACTCCTTTCAAGCCTCACGGGGGAACCGAGTCTAACTTCCATCAATCAAACAATCTATACTTAATGAAACTTATAAGTACATGTACTAAGATTTAAACTTGCGGATAAGCTCGAGTTTTCAAAATATATGCCAAATCAGTTATTGGCTTCTTGTTTAAATTGAATTATTACAAAATGCATTTACTGATATAAAATGATGATACTATGATAAGTGTTTATACAAGAATCGTTGTAATTATTCTATACAAGTATATATATACATAATTATTCTGACCACTAATATATACATGTACATAGAAAAGGTTGTCGGAATGATCGATTTCGTTAAGTGTATTAATACCATTCACAAAACTAAAAAACAAAGAAACACTCTTCTTTAAATGACTGATTATGCATAAAATACAATTACACACCAATTTTATTCATCAAGGTTATTCATCTGGTCCTCTCCGTGTATATGAGAATTAGATTTATCACTGGATTCGGGTTGGTCAAACACATTCGACGTTCCCATATTTATAGTTTACTGTACATTACGGGAACAAAATGCCTCCTCAGATGAAAAAAAACGGCATATTATATTTGAAAGCCAGAACTAGACACAGGAGGCCATAAGTGGCTCAAAAACACTTTGGTTCAGCTAGCTAGTTGATCAGCTAGACCTTGTCAGAAATCAAAATAATAAAAAAAAACTTTGCTATCAGTAATACTGTACAGAATACCGTTAGGGCCATCATGGTTGAACGTTATAATCCAGAGGGCGACAAAGTGATAGTGCGACAACGCGATGGCGATAGTACGAGAGTACAGTGACGATAGTACGATAGTGCGATGATGACAACGCGACAATGCAATGGCGACAATGCGATGACGACAGTACGACAATGCGACGGTGCGATAATGCGGTGGCGACAATGCGATAGTACGATGACAATAATGTGATAGTCTATAGCATTGTCGTTCTCGTGTTATCGCGTTGTCGTCATCGCACTATCACATTGTAGCTCTCTGGAATACATAAACGTACAACCACGATGGCCCTAACGGTATTCCGTAATACTGTGCTTTTCGCTTCATAGATTCATTGAATTTAAGCTTACTTGAAAGAAGAATTAACTTTGATAAAGTTAGTCCTTCTAAACTAAAGTGATTCAGTTTTTAATTGTGCTTAGGTCAACTAAAAAATATGTTGGTTTGTAGTGCCCGCTACCTTCCCATCTTCAATTCTTTTAGGCCATCGACTTGCCGATATGTATCCTGTTCTCCCATAATTACCTCCCCTTAATAAGAATATGGCATTTGTAATTATTAAGATTATTTCATGACAGTATACTTTGTGTCGTTAATGGTTAGTATTAAAAAATTGTAATTCTGAAACTTCAATTAATTGAGAATGTTTGAATGAAGTACACAAAATCACAAAATACTATCTCTTGTGCAACAGTGATTAAATAATTATTAAAACACCAGGTAAGCAATGTTGATAAAATGAAGCACAAAATGAAGCACCTTTCGAAATTTTATCTTTTTGTAATTTACAGGACATACATAGGAAACAACGTATAAAGGAAGTCATAGACAACATTAAAAATAGAAAGGCAAAGAAGAAAAAACAGCCCCCAACTACTAGTTCGCTGCTCCAAGAAATGGAACACTGATTTTTTTCTACTTCAATTGTTTATTGCTAAATAAAAGTTCTTTTTTAAATCAATATTATAATAAATACTAACATTTTTAAAAAGATATTGTCATGTTGTGCTTTTAGAACACAATTGTGTTAATCGTCCTTGATTTTACATCCTGTAATTTATAGCTCGACTATTCGAAGAATAAGGAGAGCTTTCACCTCATCCGGGCGTCGGCGTTAGTTTAATGTTCTGTCCAATTTTTCATACCACATCAATTATGTTCCAAGTCCCTTAAGATATCGCTTTGAAATTTTGCAGACTTGTTAACCACCATGACCCCAACCCCTAGACATGGGTAGATAACTCTGTCAAGCATTTTGTTAAAATTGACTGCCTTGTCGACTAAGATGGTTTTCATTTTACTACCAAGAACTAAGAATAGTCGAGTGTGCTGCCCATGACGCTCTTATTGTAGTTTTTAATTCGCGTGAGCTTAAGTAGAAGCTTTGCTGAGAATGATATTGTTGTTATCTAGAGGAAAATATAACAAAAAGAACCACTTTCCGTGTGCTGGTGTCTCGTGTCCATAGCTGTGCTATGCCAATCTTAAATTTGCTAGAGTAAAATAGGACTGGTGGAATAAGAACAAAAAATCATAGTTTTGGTGCATGACCTTGCCCTACACGGGCGCTTTATACTAGGGCTAGAAAAAGTCTAGTTGTTTAATCCATTTTGAGGGCTTATTGCGAAACGGTTGTAACTTAAACTAGATAAAGAAGGAGATACAACTGTTTTGCACCAAGCCCTCGAATTATATTTTTAGCTGCATTTTATGATACACGTACAGCTTCATGGCGGTTGAAAATCTGTTCCTTTGCCAATCCCCAAACCATATATTAATGCCATGCATTTGTAATAGAGGTCGATACGTAAAAAGTCAAGACCACAAGTGTTTGAAGTCACCACTCACAAGTAGGAAGTCAAAAGTCACAAGTAGAAAGTCACAAGTAAGAAGTCAAAAGTCACAAATAGGAAGTCTCTAGTCAGAAATACGAAGTCACAAGTCAGACCATTGTGCACGAAGTGTCATTGCAATATCGTTTAAAACGTCCTTAGCTTTACAAATGCGTCATCCTGGAAATTTTGAAGCTGACCTTATTACCTATAAGAGCCAATGCTTCTATAAGCGCCCATCCCTTCTTTTCCATTTGTAAGTGGTAAAGCGCCCAGGATAAATTGTCTTAAAAGAAAAAAAATCAACTGACCACAATCGACATTTTAAATTGTTATGCATGTCCGCGGGCCTAGAAAATTTCACTGTACAAGGAAAGACTGTGAATATTCACATTTCAACCCCATTGTAGTGATTTGACAGTAAACGGGACCACTTTAAATACGAGATATCAACAGAATTTGCATAGCTGTGACTCTTACATATTGTATACTTTTGTAAGACCTGACTTCTAATAAGCGCACACCTTTCACAATTTTCTAAGCGCCCTGGGCGATTACTAGGAAGAATACGGTAGTACTGGCTAGATATCCTGTGCAAGTTTCGTACTAGGGCGTTTGGTCTACAAAGATGAACGTGAGGCAGTGAATTAATTTTAATAGCCAGATTCTAATTAACTGAAAGTTAAGTATATCTGCCCTAGTAAGTCTGCACACCTGGGTCTACACTTGTCACAGGTCCGTAGTTTTACTTGACTGAAACGTTAACGGTTACAAACAGACCTTTGTGAGCCATGATGTATTTGAACGTAGAAATAACATTTGACTTTCGTGACAAATTCGTTTGTTATAATTGACTGTCAAACATAAGAATAAACATATGCCACGTACGTTATGAACTATAAAATACATTATACTATAGTTTACAACATCATCACGATCATCATCGTTAATATAGTTATCATCATCGTCATGATTATAATCATTATCATCGAAATCAACTTCTGCTTATCATCAACAACATAATTATTTAAATTATAAAGTCAACCTTCATCATGAGGAGCAGCATCATGACAATCATCATTGCAGTCAACATACTTATAATGATAATCATGATGATGTAGATGATGATGATAATGATGGATCGTGTTGATCATTTGTTCTCTCACAAAACAACTTTATGGCTTAAAAAAAGACGTCAGTCTTCATACGAGTTTGCCACTAAATCATTCAACTCCAGGAACAAATTCAATGCTGAATCGGCATCTACTGGCATTTGGAGGTCGGGCTTTAACAGATAAGCCAATTCGCTGAATTCGTCAAACTTTCTCTTTGGAACTGAATACATGTCTTTACAACAGGTCACATCACGTTTGTCAACCACCGTACCATAATCAAGCGCGCCAAACGTTTCAGGTAAAAAATACATAATGTCAGGTTTTCCGTAATGTGCGTCGGAATTGTGCTGAGGTATAATTTCATGTACATTCCACTGTTGAGCAATTCTATCCAGATGTGTTTGTATTAGGTTCATAAAACAAAATTTCAAATTTTCACAATGTATCTGGTCGAGTTCATTGAAACGACCAGAATCGCGCAAATTCTTAAACAAATTAATCCACCACTGTATTCCTTGTTGACGTAGCGTACCCCACCATCTTTCAATGCGCTGGTTAGAAGTGCTTCTTCCAACAATAACGCTGCGACTACCAGCAAAGTGGTCGGTTGCTTCATTCCGAAAGAACTGCTGTAGAAGACAAACAACACTGCTTTCTGTTCCAGCATCGCAACGAAGTATGCGAGGTGTTTTTTCAATGCGCTTCAATGCATCCAAATAATATATCGCAATCAGTTTTGGATCGTTGTTAGTGTCAGAAACTTCTTACCAGGTAACTTTCCTGCTAAAACCATCTACCGCTCCGTGTATAAAAATCCGAATGGTTTCAACTTATCATAACCATCTTAATGCCAAATATTGGTTGGCCCTTTTGCACAATAGAAACGTCTTTTAAGTCGATGTGCTTTTCTCATTTCAACACCCTCCGTTTATAAAAATCCGAATGGTTTCAACTTATCATAACCATCTTAATGCCAAATATTGTTTGGCCCTTTTGCACAATAGAAACGTCTTTTAAGTCGATGTGCTTTTCTCATTTCAACACCATTTGGATCTATTGCCTTCATTATGTCCATAACATCTTTATGGCTTACATCCATATTATGATGCACTTTAAGCCGGCGCCATATCGTCCGATAACCGACAGACTGTCCACTATAATGCATTTCCGTGCCAATTACACGAACAACGTTTTTCAACTGCGATTGCAAATGTACACCTCGACGTTTCAGGTTCAACTTCTTCAAGATTCTTTTCAGCTGACGCAGTGACAACAAAATACAATGCTTATATAGCAAAAATCCAAGAATTTCACTGTATTTAAAACCTTGTTTGAAATATTCTTCAATGAGTGATGCTTTATCAATATTCGGAGACGACAAAGGCAGGTAAGCTTGGACCACACCAGCTGTTATCTTCAACAGAATGCACAGAAAACAACACGCAAACACGAATTTCATATTTTGGCACAACACAGGCATCATCGCTCATTACTCACGTGCTCTCTTAAAGTGTGACTTAATTAATTAATTTCACAACTAAGAAGTAATAAGTCTTGAGTTAAAAGTCAAAACTCCCAAGTCAAAAGTCATAACTCCCAAGTCAAAAGTCATTAAGTCAGAAGTCAAAAGGGCCCTCCAGTGCTTCCATAAATACCTAATCAAGGTATCATTATTTAACAAAACATATAATTATTAAATATCACAAGTAATAACACTACATCAATATGACTGTCAGACAGATCTTGAAACAAAATAAAGGTCTTTAAAAGCCCAGGCCACGTACAAAAATAGTAGTCTATGCCTTGATTATGAGCTGACAGATAGGGGAATTTTGTAAAGGGTGGCTTAGCCTGTCTGTTGTGATTACATGTCTAAAAAGTACATCATGGTATATTTTAGCCACCATAGAATTTTCTTATCTAGAAAAAAATCTAGCTATTTTTATTTGTACAAAAATATAGAAATAGTACAATGTATAATTAGTAAAATGTTCACTATACATGTACAAATAATGAAACTATTAACAAATGTCGGTACAGCCGCGGTACGGTATTTAGAGGGTCACGGGTTCGAGTCCATGTCAGGATGCACTTTTTTCTCACCCTGTGACTGACATACATTTGTATAGCCCAGCTAGAAATTAATTCACAATGCTAAGTAACCCTGGGAAATTCGAAGAAATATTTGCATACACAGTAGGTTTTTTAACTATTCAGTATTTAAACAAGTAAAACGTGTAAGCGGCCGAATAGCTCAGAGGAACTCAAGAGCCGCGGAATGGTATTCCGAGTGTCAGGGGTTCGAGTCCCTGCCAGGCCGTTACATATCAATATAAATCTGTCAAGAAAAATAGGAAGGAACTGTCTAAAATAATTATCACCCTGAATAGGATTCGGCTAGGATTCCTTGTAAAGGGGGTGGGGTGCTAGTCTGATTACCATCATTTGATGTCTGACGAACCTCATATCTAATATATCTTGGTACGCATATAAACTACCTGTTTGATGAATGTTGCAATTAATTAGTAATTAAATCTTATGCGTATGTAAAATAGGATTAAAACTAACTAATCTTCGGCGTAAAGCATGTAGAAATCTGACCAGTATTCACCGCGAGGTCACAAACTTTAAAACTTTAATGTAAATATCACAATAATATACTTCTTTATATAATATTTCTATTCTTTGACAGGGACACAGAACATCTCTTACATGTTTAAGAAACCAGAAATTTACATAATATATCTATCTAAGATATTCTTTTACTTCTCAATAGTAACAGACGCAAAACACGGTACTTAAGCGCTTAGACGAACGCAGACACACGCTGAATAAGAAACGCACGCTTTCAGACGCACGATAAACGAAAAACGATACACGGAAAGCGATAAAT